ACCACAAGGTCTGTGGTTCAAACTCACCAGTTGCTCCTCGGAAACCCTATACAGAGTTGCTATAAGTCAGAATGGACTCAAAGGCACTTAACAACAACATACTACAATGCTTGGTGGCACTGTAACTAAACAGCTGCTAATGAAAGGTCAAAGATTTGAATACATCAGCTGTACTGAGGGAGTAAAGTGTGGCAGTGTGTTTCCTTAAAGATTGTTGTTGTTTAGATTCTGTTCAATCTATTCTGACTCTTTAACATCCTGATATACAAAAGTGTGAAACACTGCCTGATTCTGTGCCATCCTTACAATCATTGCTATGTTTGAGCCCATTATTGGGGCCACTGTGTTCATCCATTTTGTGGAGTCTTCCTCTTTTTCACTGATGCTCTCCCAAGTATGATGTTCTTCTCTAGGAACTGCTTCTTTCCGAACACATGTCCTAAGTAAGTGAGAAGTCTCACCATCCTTTCTTCTGAGGAGCATTCTGTCTGTACTCCTCCAAGGCAGATTTGCTATTCTTTTGGTTGTTGTCGTTGTTAAGTGCCATCGAGTCGATTCCGACCCATAGCAACCCTGTATAGGATTTCCAAGGAGCAGCTGGTGAGCCTGAACCATTGACCTTGCAGTTCTAACAACTTTCCATTCTGATGCATTAGACCACAGCACCACACCAGGACTCTATTCTTCTGGTAGTACTTGGTATATTCAATATTTTCCACCAATACCATAATCCAAAGGCATCTATCTGTTCTTTTCTGGTCTTCCTTATTCATTGTCCAGCTTTTGCATGGCTATGAAGTGATTAAAAATACCATGGTTTGGGTTGTTACTATTAAGTGCTGTCAAGTTGATTCCTATACTTGTATAGGATTTCTAAGAAGCACCTGGTAGGTTTGAACTTTTGATCTTGTGGTTTGCAGTTCAGTGCTTATCCTACAGTGCCACACCAGGTTTGGGTTAGGTGCACCTTAGTCCTCAAAGACATCTTTGCTTTTGAACACTTTAAAGAGAGGTCTTTTGCCCAATGCAATACTTCATTTGATTTCTTGACTGTTGCTTCCATGTGTGTTGTGTGTCCAAGTAAAACAAAATTCTTGACAATTTCAACATTTTCTCCATTTATCATGATGCTGTTTATTAGTCCAGTTGTGAGGATTTTTGTTTTATGTTGAAGGCTGTAGTCTTTGACCTTTATCAGTAAGTGCTTCATGTTATCTTCACTTCCAACAAGCAAGGTTGTGTCATATCACAACTTGTTCATGTGTTTTATTCTAATCCTTATATCTTCATATTCCAGATTTTATGATTATTTGCTTGGCATACAGAATTGAATAAACACGGTGAAAAGATATACAACCCTGGCACACATATTTTCTGATTTTAAACACCACTCAGTCCCTCTTGCTCTGTTTGGGTGACTGCCTCTTGGTTATATACAGGTTCTTCATGAGCACAAATAAATGTTCAGGAATTCACATTCTTCACAATGTTATCCACAATTTGTTGTGATCGACACAACCTGTGAACCTTAAGGTCAGCAGTTCTAAACTACCAGCTGTTTTGCAGGAGAAAGGTGAGGCTTTCTGCTACTGTAAAGATTTACAGCCTCAGAAACCCTGTACAGGCTTGCTATGAGTCGGAACCGACTCCACGGCACATAACAACAACACAACAACACAACCTTTGCATAGCCAACGATCACAACCTTGAGAACCCTGTGCAGCAGTTCTACTCTACCTTTTAGGGTTGATATGAGTTGTTGGATCCGATTGTTCCATGGCAACAGATTTATTAATTAAATATTGCCTTCTTAGGATGCATTCACGTTATTATGAATTGCACTTATTGCCATCTTTGTCACTTGCACAACTTTGTTAGTAATGTGCACTATTGTGTTATTGTTGTTAAGTGCTGTCGAGTCAGTTCCCAATGACCCTGTATAGGGTTTCGTGGATTTGAATCGCCAACCTCATGGTTAGCAATCAGGTGTTTATCCTACAGCACCACACCAGAATTCCCTGTACAATGCTAAAATATATGTATCTACATTTATTTCTAATGTTTCCAACCCCCAAAGATAAGTAAACATCGGTTTTATAAATATAAATCATACCAAACTTTACCCACTACTGTGGAGTTAATTCAGACTCATAGTGAGTTGATAGGACAGGGACAAATTGCCCCCACGTGATTTCGCAGTCTCAGCTTGCTGCCAAAGATTCATCAGTCTCCCATGGTGGGTTGGAAGCCTGATCCTTCAGTTAGCAACCAAGTTCTTAACTAATGAGATACCAGGGCTTCTTTGTATAGGTTTTGGTAATAAAAGACAATGATAATAATTGAGATATTTGACTTATGTAGGGGAAATATCAATATATATTTATATCTACCTACATATGAAGAACTGGAGGAAAACACACCAATTACTATAATTCCTGCTCTTTAGTGCCATCGGGACAGTTCTGACTCATCGCAACCCTGTATAGGGTTTCTAAGGAGCAGCTTGTGTGTTTGAACTGCTGACTGTGAGGTTCAAATCTACCTTGTGGTCTAGTTCTTGACCCACAGCAACAGACGGTTATTTCTCTGAAAGGAATTGGGCTTACTGATGATCTGTGTACTTTTCTTCAACCTGCCAACTTCCTACATGTGGAAATTTTTTTTTAAAATTATAATCCTGTTTATTGTATTCAGGTAACCTTTCTTTTTTTCTTTACTTCCTGAAGTAAAGACCTTATGATCGCTCTCTTTTTCTTTGACTAAGTGAGTAAAAGACTATATGATCTCTCTCTTTTTCCTTTCCTAAAATAGGAATGCATGCCTTAGAAATTTGAACTAGCCAACTGGGTAAGGGAAAAGATTGTGCGGTCAAAACCCTAGCGAGTGACTGGCTTACAAGCTTTCAAGAGGGAACCTAGATCCAGAGGGCCTGGAGGAAGGTAGAATCTCCAGTGAGTAGTATTCAATCTGACTAGGTGGGGCTGATGCAATGAAATGCAGATGGGTCTCTTGTGATACAATAGTGAATAATTGTTATCAGAACTGATTGTGAGGTCAGAAATGTAAAGGTAGACACTTTATAGCAAGGAGGAGAGTGACTAACTTTTCAGTCTAGGAGTGGAGGTCCCTAGGACCATCAAGGCAGAAGAGCAGAGAGCGGGACCCTACCCAGAGAAGCAGTGATGCCTGAAATGGAGGCAGAGATGATGCTGTGGAGCGATGGATGGAGCAGCTGGAGACTTTAGATCCAGAGAGGGAGAGCGACTGTGTGCTGAAGACCTGGGGGGTACAGGGGAAGGATTGCATGGAGGGGATTGTAACCATGGCAATGAGACAGAATGAATATAAAACTAATGTTCTCCCATGTAAGCTATCACATAATTCACAGTAAAACATTTAAGAAAAACAAAAACAAAAAACCCTAGCCTGTGGGGTCAGACACAGCCTTGAGACTCATGTTAGGGATTAAAAGCCCTAGTGGACTGCCCTCTTAGTGTGCTCGCTGGCCTGTTCCTGTATGTACCGCTATGTGCACGTACCCTCTTGCAGGAGTAAATTTTGCTTTGCCAAGGAGCTCTGGTAGCGTAGTGGTTATGAATCAGGCTGCTAACCTCAACGTCGGCAGTTCGAAACTACCAGCTGCTCCAAGGGAGACCCATGAGGCTTTCTGCTCCAGTAAAGATTTATAGCCTCGGAAACCCTAAACAGGGTCACTATGAGTTGGAATCGACTCTATGGTACTTAACAATAACAAGGTAATTTAGTTTCACCGAGTGTCTTTTACCAACATAGAGATTTAGTTCTAACATACACTGTTTGGATTTTTTCCTACACCATTTTGATTTTTCACTTGAAGCCTACAGTGTTAAATACAAAGACTCTAATATAAGAAAGTATTTGATAGAGTATTAGAGTATTGGGGTCCTGGTGTGGCGCTGTAGGATAAACACTCGACCATAGCGTTGGTTTGAACCTCAAGATTGTCAGTTCAGACTCAGCAGCCGCTCCTCGGAACCCTATACAGGGTCGCTATGAGTCGGAACCGACTCCACGGCACTTCACAACAACAATGCAAGAAAACCACCTTATTGGATCAGGCCCGTTGTCAACACTGTTAAGTGTCATCGAGTTGGTTTGACTCATAGCGACCCTGTTATGGGATTCCAAGGGACGCATGGTGGTTGGAATTGCCTATATTGTGGTTAGCAGTCCAAAGTTATCCTACAGCACCAGGAGACGCAGGTATTTTTAATATTACACTATACACGCTTCCCTCAGGGTCCACCTCTGAAACAAAGGTCACCTTCTGGAAAGGCTTGGGGGGGGGCGGTTTTTGTTGTTATTGTATGCCGTGGAGTCGGTTCCGACTCATAGCGACCCTGTACAGGGTTTCCAAGGCTGTAAATCTTAACAGGCGGAACAGCTGGTAGTTTCGAAAGGCTGGTTCGCGGGATTTGTAACCACTACGCTCCCAGAGCTCCTGGAGGTTAGGCGCCTTCTATTGGTTCTTCCTGGACGTGTCCAGCCCTCACATCCGAGCCAATGGGAGCGCGAGTTTTGGTTTAAACACCAAGCCTGGCGCGACTGCGGACGGCTCAATTTGACTGTTGAGATACAGGTGAGTGTGCGGAGATACCGGGTGTGTTTGGTGAAGCTGAGTCCGCAGGGAATGAGGCTGGCTGGGACTGGGGCTTCCCGGAGGCGTAGATTTCACTGAGCCAGGTTTAGCTACGACTTCGGACCCACGGCGGCTCTCTAATTGGTACCAGGGACTGTGCGGGATCCAAACCGCCAGCTCCTCGGAAATTGAGAAACTCTCACTCAGGTAGGCAGAGTTAAGAGCGGGATTAAGTGTCAGCTCAAGCACGGGCTTTTCTCTGTATAACTTGTATGGACGTTCAAAGGGTGGCCACATTTGGGCCTGTGTTACATTTTAGCTTGCTTTCGCCTTCCGTAATCCCTAGAGTCTAATAATGCATTTCTTATCCCTAAAGTAATCTAGAATGGCTACTCTGATCTTTGTTGATAAGGAGAATGGAGAACCAGGCACGCGTGTGGCCCCTAAGGATGGTCTGAATCTGGGATCTGGGTCTTGTAAGTATACAGGCTGCAACTGAAAATACAACTATTGTGAGCTATTTGTCGTTGTGGCCCAGGCTACATCAGGCGTTTATTGTACTCTGGCGGTAGTTGAAGTTAAAGTTTACTGCACTCAGCTGCACTCCCTTATTGTTAACAGCTTGTTATGGGTTCCTTTTTGTTTGTTTAGTATCTTAGTGGGTTTATTTAAGAGCGAGAGTACTGAAGTGCTATTGGCATATCATGGGAAAAATGGGAGTGGGGTCTTGGGGTGAGAAATAGGACAGTTTTATATACTAGTCAGCCTTCAGAGTTACACAATGATTTTATTTTTCTTCAGCCGTCAAAGCCTTAGATGGGAGATCTCAGGTTTTAACATCACATGTTGGTAAAATATTTGATGCTCCATCTGCCCTACCTAAACCTGCCAGAAAGGCTTTGGGAACTGTCAACAGAGCTACAGAAAACTCAGTAAAGACTAATGGACCCCTTAAAGCAAAGTTGCCAACTTTCTCTGCCAAGAAGGTAAGACTTGACTATGGAGACACTCCAGCGCATTTGAATCTTAAAAAAAAAGAAAAAAAGCAGATGATAATATACCTGACTCTAATTCTCTGGTGGTGGAGGAGGTGGTGGTTATGTGCCGTGGAGTCGTTTCCGACTCTTAGTGACCCTGTACAGGGTTTCTGAGGCTGTAAATCTTTACAGGAGCAGAAAGTCTCATCTTTTTCCTGTGGAACAGCTGGTAGTTTCGAACTGCTGATCTTGCGGTTCACAGCCCGATTTGTAACCACTATGCTACCAGAGATCCTTTTCTACTCTGTAGAGTAGGAGAAAACACAGGCTAGTGGATGTAGATTAGCCCAGGAGAATCATGTGGTCCTTGTGGATACTTAGATTGGAAATCTCAGAAGCAGCTAATCAATACATTTGCTTGCTACTACCATTAATTAGGGAGTCCTGGTGTGGCACTGTGGGTTAATGCGCCAGAATGCAAAACCATTTGAACTGCAAGGCCGGCGGTTCAAGCTCAACAGTCATTCCTTGGAAACCCTATACAGGGTCGCTATGGGTCGGAACTGACTCAACGGCACTGAACAACAACGATGACCATTAACTTTAGAGGAGCTCTGGTTGCATAGTGCTTACTAGTTGGGCTGCTAATCTCAGGAGAGCAGTTCAAAACTACCAGGGGTTCTGTGGGAAAAAGATGATGAGGCTTTCTACTATCCCGTAAAGATTTACAGCCTCAGAAACCCTATACAGGATTGCTATGAGTCAGAACCGACTCTATGGCACATAACTACCACCACCTTTAACTAGTGCCTTGAAACAGATTAGTTGGTACAATATACATGTTGTTGTGAAGTGCCGTTGAGTCGGTTCTGACCCATGGCGACCCTGTATAGAGTTTCCGAGGAGCAGCTGGTGAGCTTGAACCGTCGACCTTGCAGTGCAAAGCTGGACGCAATAATGCACAGCGCCACACCGGGACTCCAGAATATACATAAGATGAGTAAAATGCCAAGAAAGAGGACATTGTGTACCTTGCAAGAGTTCACATTGCTAATAGGATTAATATTGCCTAGGTGTGGCCCCGACCCCATTCCACCAACCACCAGCTTGTTATGTAACAATATGCTAGTGTGTTGACCTATGTATGTACGTGCACATATGAATAACAAGCCAGTAAGAGGACTTGCTGTGAAAGGTGACTTTAGTTGACATGCGGATTAACATTTTAATAATTGTTTAATGTGTTAACAAACAACTGTTACTTTACATCAAATCTCTGACTTTACATATAGTGTCTTATTTTTGTAAAAGCTAGTTGATTTAATATGTTAAATATAGTTATGATAAGTATATGGCAAAAATAATGAGAGTATTATACAGAGGTCTGAAGTATGGGGAAAACCTGCCAATTCCAGACTAGGGAATTATCCTAAAGTCTTGGTTGCCTTTTTTTATTGACTCTTAGCCAGTATATGTATTTGAGGAACACAAGCATGTTTTTAATATTAACCGAAGCAAATAATTAAGCTAACACTGATGAAAAATTACACTTAGAAAAGCTAAATGGCTTCTAGGATTAACTACTGTTCTGGTGACTCATATCCATTTTCTCCTCTGTTAGGTTGAATAATTGAGTTGATTACCTGTGAATTAACTGCTCTGTGTTCTTGTTAAATTACACCGATAGATGCTAATACTTAAATTTCAGACTTAACTTTTGAGTCATTCTACTTTGCTGAGTTATGTTTATATGTAATCATGAGAACAATGGACTGTGGCTTTTTAGAAGCCAGCATGAGACTGACAAATTTGAAATGGTGGTGGTGTAAGCCATAGGTTTTGAAAGGCCCCACACTGTATTGATACTGTATTGTACAAATCGGTTGACAAAAGCTTGCTTTCACTCTCGCTAATTCATATTTTTGGGGTCGTTTTAGGTAACTGAGAAGACTGGTAAAGCAAAAAGCTCTGTTCCCGTGGTGGATGACACCTATCCAGAAATAGAAAAATTCTTTCCCTTCAATCCTCTAGGTAATTATCTTTTAGTATTATAAAAATTATTTTGGCCTTCCGTTTCTCTTAGAATTCAGTTCAGTTATAATTTGATATGGCTGTGACATAAGATATTGAAGTGTAACGAAATACTGAAACCTGATAACTTTGAGCAAATATATTTGTTGATGGAATTATTTGCAAGGTGTCATCTTAAGCATGGAGTAGGGTATAAGAGAAAGATGGGAGGGTCTTGTTGTTGTCCTGAAAAGCTTATTTCTGAGGCTTGGGAAATAAAATGTGCTCACTGACATTGATCAGGTGTAAGTGTTAGGTTTTTCTTGCAAGCCTTTTAGAAAGTGGGCTTTATGCCAAATTGAACGATGTCTGAGAGTACTTGTTAAGTGCCGTCAAGTCGATTCCAACCCATAGAGACCCTGTGTAGGGTTTCCAAGGAGCATCTGGTGAGCTTGAACCACCAACCTTGGAGTTCAAATGACTTTGCAGTCTGACGCATTAGCCCACAGTGCCACACCAGGACTCCGAGAGTACTTTGGGTAGAGTTAAATTAGAAAGATCCATGTAGCCAGTGAAAACATGTGCGTTTGTTCCTTAAACCTGCTTACATGTATATGAAGTGTTTCCTATTACAGATCAGCTTTTCAAGCTTTCATTTACTCAGACCTTTGAGGAGAGTTTGCTGTGTGCCAGGTACCATGTTAGCTTTTGGATATAGCAGTTAACAAGTCAGCCCTTGGCCTGAGTGAGCCTGCAATTTGGAGGGAAAGTCAGACACTGAACTTGAGTTGTTGTTAAAGCACCATCAAGTAGATTCCAACTCATAGTGACCTTGTACAGGGTTTCCAAGGAGCAGCTGGTGAGCTTGAATCACCGACCTTGCAGTTCAAATGACTTTGCAGTCTGACACATTTAGCTCACAGCGCCACCCCAGGACTCCAAAGGAGAAAAATGGCCTTTGAGGAGTTACTGAACATAGTCTGGGAAGATTAGGAAGTGTTATGAAGTTGAATCTTAAAAGTGTTGAAAGATGGTTGTATGAAGAAAGGAAGGACAAAGCAAGATCATTATATATAAAAATGTGTGCAGAGGTCCTGAGGTAGACAGAAGGACTGAAATGGTTCTGGAACACAGTCTGCCAGAGTAAAGGGCAATAGGTTATGGGATAGGGGCAGATCAGTCAGGGCTTTCTAAAGAACTGAGGTTTTTTCCCACCCTTTTAGACAAAGTGCAACTTAGCCATTTTACGTATATTGTTGTTGTTGTCAGGTGCCATCGAGTTGGAACCGACTCATAATGACCCCATGCACAGCAGAATGAAACAATGTCTGATCCTGGGCCAACCTTACTACTGCTGTCACTTGAAACCATCAGTGATGCCACCTGGCTGATCCATCTCGTTGGGGGTCTTCCTCTTTTTCTCTGACCCTCCACCTTACCCAGCATGACATCCTTCTCCAGCGAC